TGAGGTCGTATCATCATCGCCGTCAAGCGCTGGAGATGGAAGTCCTGACTGAAGTGGTGGCCGAATCGGCAGGCTCAATGCCAGACTGTCTGCGGTGGGAAGAGTCCATTTTTTATCAATGAAAATTCCGCGTCTCAATAGAAAGACAGGAGAGATCTCGGGTTTGTAGCGTTGGAGCAAGCTGTGGCAGACGAGGACAGATCAAGGAGACATGAGGTGTCAGGAATTGGACCCCCGCCCCGAGAGGCCGCTGGAAGGCGGCAGAAGCGGCCGGCGGTCGGGAACGAAGAACAGTCTGGTGACCGATGATTCAGAGATGAGCAGTTGACTGCTTTGCAATGATAACGGAGGTGAAGCGGAATGGGTGGTTGTGTGGGTGATACGTTGAACGAGAGGGCGTTGGGATTGGAGGCGCGATAATGTGTGGAGGGCGAAAGTCGAGGGTGTCCAAGCCCAGGCGGGCGCGGAGGACTCATTAGGAACTGGGACTGAAACTGGAATTGCCAGGTGGGAAGGAAGGGGAAAGGCCGTGCAGGCGTGGGTCATGAGCCGAACGTGTTGGACGGAGGGCAGTTGGCGGGTGGGCAGACACCGGGTCGGCCGTGGTGGACTGGGCTGAGCAGAATGTAGTGCAGATGCTAAGGAGGCCTCATGACCAATGAGCAACAAATACTGTGCGTATATGAACAGGGCGGGGCGTGAGTCGAGGATACCATCCTATGTTTGGCTGGTGTCGCTGGAAAGCGGATATAGACTGAGGCAGTATTGTGCTCCAGAGAATATGATTGGTGGGATCACAGTGTGCAGAGATGAGCGCCCACTCCGTCTAAAACCACCATCCAAACGAAGCTGCGCCAGCGTCATCCCAGCCCCTGGCGGGAGGCCCTTTGTTGTGGAGTACCCCCTAAACACTCGGACTTGAGCAGCCCACTCACAGGATAGCGCGTGGAGTGTGTTTTCCTGGCTGGAAGGACCACTGTGCCCTGACTCATTTGCCGCTTGCCATTGCGCGACGAAATCCAGTTGAATGCAAGAATGCATGCAAACTCTAGACGTCCTCGGGTACCAAAGTTCTGTGTGCAACAGAGGTCGACACGCCAAGCAGTTGACGGCCTTTGCGTTCGAACGGTGTGTGTCTCTCTGATGAGAAGCATATCGTCTGTCTCGTGGTGCCATGGGAAACCGAGCTGCCCCCCTCCCTCCTCGAGAGGTAGGTACCTGATCTAGGTACCTAGTCAGCACAGTGAACGTCTGATCATGGCCGCTGGTCGACCATCCACTGATTGTGGCTAGTTAGGTACATGTAGCTAGCGGTCAAGGTATCTGTAGGCATTCAAGGGTCCTTTAACCTTACGTCCAGCTCCCTCCTGCGCCAATCAATCGGCAGCGCGCAACGGCTCATCAAAAAGGCTTGATCCTCGTCCTCATCTGATCGTTTGACCATGTCGGCATGGCTGTCTTGTCTAGATCTTGCTTCGCCCTCAACTACCTACGGCACCTAACCCCACGAATGAGCCATTGCCTCTCACGTTCGATCACAATCCTCCTCTATGGACGGGCGTCAGCATCATATGGTGTCGGCCGGTCAGCTGGCAGCATGACAAAACAAAACAAGGCAACCAACGCGAAGGGGCCCGACTCGCCCCTCCCTTCTGCTGCTCACATTACCCAGCAGCTCAGCAGTCGACATGCAGGTTGCTGCAGACAACCACACCCACCCACAACTTGGCCCTTTTGGCCCTTCGTTCACCTGCGTCTTCACGTTCACTTCTAGATCCATTGGTCCATAGCCAGTCTAATCTTCGCTCACCGAAACAGCCTCATCTTTCCATCGTCGTCCGCGAACCTCACCGCGCCTGACTGGAAACATTCGAGGCCATGTCTCGCGCCCCCTCCGACCCGACCCCCGTATCTTCCGGGCGGCACTTGCACTTCTTGTTCACCAGTCGCTCAGCCTCATTCCGTGTTCCATACCCCCAGGCTCATCATCAATCATATTTGGTTCTGCAGGGGGTGTGTAGCCCATGTCCAGTGGGTAGAGAGCTGTCTCTCTCTCTCTCTCTCTTTTTTTCTGTGTGTGTGTTCTCCTACCCGCCCCTCCCAAAAGTCCCCTCGTCGTCTCACACGGCCTCATCTGTACGAGCATACATGTCAACGACCTATCGACGACCCCGCATCGTCTCGAAGTAGCATGCGCCCCGTGCCCCGGCTTCCCAGCCGGGGAATCTCCAGCGTGTCACAGTCTCCGACCGTGTCGTCTCAAGCGTGCATGGCCTGCTTGAAACCTGCCCCTGGTGGCAGGTAGATACGGAACGCACAGTGTACTGGTACCTCGAACACGCGAAAGCCTGGCCTGTTATCTTGGACAGGTACTGGTGCCGTCTGCCCTCGACTCAGCCATCTTGTGCCCCCCCGACATGACTAGCACAGGAAGTGTAAGTGTGATGGGCGAAACAGGGCGAACTGTGGCTTTCCGTTGTACCACCTTGCCAGCGCGCACCAGTGCACGGCAGCCTTGTTCGTGATCGTCCCCGTGTCGTCACTGGTAGAGTCTTAGAGCGTCACCCTCCTTCCCACCCCTCCTCATTCGAGCCTTGCCTACCTAGTTTCTGCCTCTGCGGCCACTGATCTTAAAAAAACAAAATTGGCATTGGATTCCTTGGTAGGCACGTTGGCTCTCGCTGCCTACGTCTTGCATATGCATCCTTCGTCTCAAGCCACCTTTTTGTCTGCTGTGTCCGATGCTATGTTACCCTCCTCAGCCTGATGAGGGGGGTGGGCAGTTATCAGCGTCTGTGTGTCCTCGCTCTCGGATACAGGGGCGTTTGCCTTTGGGGTCAGACAGTATATGTAGGCCTGGGATCGCCGTCCGTGACCCTGACCTTCTTGTCTTGCTCTTGTCCTCGGTGTGGCAATGTGCATCATCAACGAGCTTCACTTTTCAACTCCTTCCCCTTCGTAGCCTTGTCCAGTTCCCTTGACTCACAAAAAGACCCTTCGTGGTCGCTCGCCTCACTCGGTCCATCGTCACACACTGCTGCTCATCGAAGAAGTCTAGTATTGTCTCGTCGAACAACGGCACAGCTCCGCCTCATACGTTCTCGATTGGGTCTGTTCTCGCCACCAATATGTCGCGACGATCCTCCTCCACCTCCTCGAGCTCCTCGAGCTCATCTGGCTCTTCGAGCTATGCGAGCACGGCTCGTCACTCTTCCAGCAGGTCATCTTCTTCCAAAACGTCCAGGTCATCCGTCATCACGGTGGCCCCAATCCGATCAGACAACAACCTAGCCCTCAGCTTCATGAAATACACCTGCGGGGCGCATCCATTTAGGCAATTGGCTGTCCAGAAGAAGAGAACCGACTACGTAGAAGAAGGCTACGACTATGGCAACAACGTGCCGCTCTATGTCGACAGGTACGACGTTCACTACTCTTGGGTGAGGCCCAACTTTGAAGACGACAGCATCTCCGTGCGGGCCGCCTCCAAGCGAAGCAGCGGCAGCGGGAGGAGCAGCCGAAGCTCGGGAGGACGACAACCGTCCTCGTACTCTAAGATGCCGCCCCCTCCTGTACGGGCCATGCCTCGGTTCACCCCGCCGCCGCCGCCGCCTCCACCAATGCCTCACACATACGTGCCACGGCAGCCGAGCCCCGTGAACTACATGCCCATGCCCATGGCAAGTGGTGCCAATGACGGCTTCTTCGACTTGAATGCGTCGCAGGAACCAATGCCTTCGGGGCCGACCCCGGCATTCTTCGATCTCGGATCACCGCCGCCTCCCAATGCACCAGCAGCAGCACCCGCCTTCTTCAATGTGGGCAACGGCGGAGGTGGGGATCGAAAGTATGAAGACTGGAGCGACTGAGAGCATCTCGAGGAACGGCACCACAGGGTCGTTGCGAGCTGAACGACTACCAACGCTCTTTACCTTTCTGCCTCCCCCAAATGGCATTCTTACTTCTGAGGAAGGTTATGATGAGACTTGCCAGACATTGGCTGGTTTGTGGTTGTATTTGATGCCCTGCCGGAGGTTTTTCTAGGTGAATGAGGGAGGTTCAAGCTGGCGCAAACTTACGGCCGCCAAGGCTGAGAATACCACTTAAGCCGAAGAGGGCAAACAGGACCTCGGCATGGAAGGGACACGCCACTTAGGGAGTTATTTACCTGGGCCAGCGATGTGGTTTACGATTTTCTGTGACATTGTACAAACAATTCATTGGTCTAATTGACTCTTTACTTACACAGTCTGTTTGCTCGACTACAAGTGCCTTATAATCCCGAGCCTGTGAGGAGACTAATCAGCCAAAAGCGAAATACCAGTGCCACGCCAAGTCCCCGCCTACGTCACCTACGAGCCACTGCACACAAGAAACGTCATACGATGCCTCCGTTGACGGAAGCATAAGAGGCAATTCGTTCTCATGTCCAGCAGTGCGGTGAGTGTTTCTATTGTTCACAAGGGATCGTAAAAGGGCCCGTTGGTGTCGAGGTCTACTTGGAGAGGCCTCGACCCAAAGGAGTCACCGGTAGGCAGTGTTCCCCAGCCTCGACGTCATTGGAGCTCCTCTTCAGCCCTGAGACCCGCGTTGTGTGGATCGGCAGTTCCAGACCAATCTGGCCATGCCCGCCACCAATACCACCAAGGCATAAGGCCGCCCTGTGTTCCACAAGTGCATGGCCGAATGTGGTGACAGCACCACAAGTCCACCCGATGGCATCTGGTTCCTTGCCAAGTGACCTTTTTTGTCCCGACTTTTGCCCCCTTCCCTGCCTTCTACCTAGGTCCTCTCGTGTCTGGTACGTGTGGTCTCCTGCCCTGGCCCGCAACGCGGTCCGCCGTGTGCAGGAAAACACGCATGTGGTTGCCTACGAGCCATCACAAAGTTCCAGGCATCTCAGCACGCTAACCCCCTCCAGGTCTCAACGATGCCATGCTCCAGGCTCCCTCCTGCTCACATGAATGAACGGGTGGCGTGCGAGTCGACAGCAACGATCGTGCTAGCTACCCAATCAGTCTGTTTCCTGTCACTGCGTTTTTGTCACGAACAGCGTGAATTCATCGAATGTACCAACTATGATAGGCGGCGTTGCGACACAAGCATCGTGTCTCACGCGCATACACAGAGCTCGGTGACGGTTTCCGGTTGGGCGCCGTCTTCGACCCAACGTGTCAGCAGCGCGACTCCGCACGTGTTCCGCGCCTCGAGTGAGGCCTCATCCATCAATCCAGCTCGGCCTGCAGTCATAGTTGGGGGGGAGGCCAAATGATCATCCAATTTGCTGGTGGGGGGCTGTCAGCCTGGAAAGCACAGTGTAGGGAGATACCGACCTACATATAGGGCATCGCTGGTCCATCGTTATTGTCCATGTCCTGTGTAGACATCCTCTCTCATCCTCCTGCTCTCCCTTCATTGTCGTTGTCGCACAGGAAGAGGAAACGAATGAGAACGGCCTATACGTACACACGCCATCTCCAGTTGTTTCCCTAAGACACCTTTTGCCGGTATGGATACGCTATCACACTCCTCTTGCACGACGGCAGCAACAGAGGCTTCGTCCTTTGATGCTCCGCAAGCGCAGCCATCACAGGCCATTCTGGACTTCTTCTTCCCCGGCTTCAGCATCCTGACAAGTGCCTGTCAAAAATATTTTAGCATCGATCTCAATGTCTACATCCCCCTGATCATCCTGTGTGGTGGTGCCACCTTTGCCTGGCAATATTTGAGCGACTATGTCTGGGGCCTGATCGAGTCCCATCTCATGTCCTCTGTCGATGTACGGACCGACGATGAGATTTATGTGAGTAACCCGGCCAACTCACTACCGTAAGCCTCCACTGGTCTCTGACTCCCACCCAGAACATTCTCATGGCCTGGGTTGCCACACAGCGCTTCGCAAAGAGGTCCCGGCGCTTCATTGCCAACACAAACCTCAACTCGAGAGCCTGGTTTCTTATGCGCTGGTCCTACGACGAGGATGAAGAGGACGAGGATGAAGACGACTCTACAGCCACGGCTGCCAGCGAGGTCGGACACAAGAAGAAGGGTCTGGCTTACACGCCAAGCTTTGGTAACCACATCTTCTGGTACAAGGGCCGCCTCCTCCGTTTCAAGAGGAGCCAGAACCAACAACAAGGGTCCTACTTGACCGTCAGCGAGAGGGAGGAGATCAGCATCTCCTGCTTTGGACGCTCGCCTTGGATCCTGAAGCAGCTTCTCCTCGAGGCCCGCCTGGAATATCTCAAGAAGGATACCAAGAAGACCATGATCTACCGCGGGGGCATTCGTGCGGGTTCCACCGACCCCACGTGGCAGAGGTGCATGGCCCGGACGTCGCGGCCCTTCTCGACCGTCATCCTCAACGAAAAGACGAAGAAGGAGCTCATCGATGATGTGTCCGACTATCTGTCACCCGCAACTCGGAACTGGTATTCCAATCGTGGCATTCCCTGGCGTCGTGGCTATCTGTACGAGGGGCCTCCCGGTTGCGGCAAGAGCTCGCTCGCACTCGCGCTGGCCGGCTACTTCAAGCTGCGGATCTACATTGTCAGCTTGAGCTCCATTGTCGCCAACGAGGAAACGCTCGCCACCCTATTTTCCGACCTCCCTCGTCGGTGTGTTGTTCTTTTGGAGGACATTGACACTGCCGGTCTAACACATACGCGGGAGGTCAGCGATGTGCTCTCCGGCGAGGCTGACAAGAGCGATGCTTCTGCCAACGCCATGGTGCCCGGCCAGCTGACCACAGGAATCCTCAGCGCCGCTGCCACCAGCAGCTCATCGAGGCTCTCCTTGTCAGGCCTGCTGAACATCCTGGACGGCGTCGCCAGCCAGGAAGGGCGCGTCCTCATCATGACGACCAACCACGTAGAGAAGCTCGATAAGGCGTTGATTCGACCTGGCCGGGTCGACATGATTGTCAAGTTTTCACAGGCTGACGCCGAGATTATCGGTGCCATTTTCCGCGCCATCTACGCTCCGCTTGAGGGCGACGACGGGGCGGACCGCGACGCGCCGGGACTTGATGCCGACGCCGAGAAGGCTGCGGCTGAGGCTGCGGCGGCGCGGGTGGCCAAGACTGTAGCACATGTCGAAGCTCTGTCGCACGAGTTTGTGGCATGTATCCCGGCTCACGAGTTCAGTCCAGCGGAGATTCAGGGGTTTCTGATGAGGCACAAGAGAAGTCCAGACGCGGCGATCGAGCATGCAGCTCAGTGGGTGATAGACACCCGAAAGCAGAAGAAGGAGAAGGAGATCAAAGCGGCCGAGGAGAGGCGAGCGCAAGAGGAGAAGGAGAAGGAGAAGGAGAAGGAGAAGGAGAAGGAGAAGGAGAAGGAGAAGGAGAAGGAGAAGGAGAAGGAGAAGGAGAAGGAGAAGGAGAAGGAGAAGGAGAAGGAGAAGGAGACTACCAGCGACGGCAAGGAAGCAGCCCCTGGGCAGACGAAGACGGCGCGGGACGAACACCTACAAGGGCCAGGTTCGGACTCGGGATACGCGACTTCAGTCGAATCATAAATTGATCACGGTCGAGGAACGCGTGGAACACGCAACTCATCAAGGAGGCGGAGAGCAGGAACAGAAAGAAGTGTCCCGGGCAGCGGACAAAGGGAACGGGCGAGGACCTCACAATCACGGAGAGACTGTCCCATCGAGGTCGTGAGCATGGGATGGCCGAGGGCGCCGGCGTATGGGCGTTGTACAGTACATGATTCCCACCTTTTGGCAATACAGAGAGCACTTGTTTTCTCACCATTAATACTGCTGCTGGCCCTCCTCATTGGAGGTTATCAAGAGATGCGCGAGCGCAGGGGCTGGAGGAGGGGCGACTGTTCGTTTAGCCACGGAGAAGTACGACTGATATGACGCGGCCGCCCATGGCCCGGGGGGGGGGGGGGTTAAGCAATGACAGTCAGGAGCTGAAGGTGACGTTGACGATGGCTGGGGCGGCGTGGTTGTCTTGTTGCTAGGCTGTAAGACGCCAAAAGAGCACCTATTCACCATGTCCATCAATCACAAGACTTGCGTGTTGAGATTGGCATCAGGGGATTACAACAGCAACGGGGACCATCGTGTGGCTGTGCAGGGGCAAGCTTGGTCTTGCGTGTTGACCCACCAGATCTACTGTACCGTACCTGAGCACAGGCAATGGTGATGTCGATATGGTGATGGTTCGATGAAGGGGAGAGGAGGCTAAGCCACGCAAGGTCTAGTCTGGTGAAATGGCCTGATTGGCCGCGCAGGCTTGACATTTGCTTGCGATTGGGACCTGCTGAGGGATTCTGTTTGGGGGTGGTGGCCTAGGCAGGTACCTGATCCAGGCACGTCTCCGCTGTCTTGGTGCCCTGAAGACAAGCCACTGCCTGCCCGTGGTTGCCCGCCGGTTGCGTGACGCACTTCTGGGGTGTTGGAGATGGGGCAACACACACGACACCCACAGCAGAAGAGGCACAGAGGCAGGAGATGGCAGGGCAAGGCGCCAAAAACAAGGTGCAGGGTTTGTTGGATCGGAGGCACGAGGCAGGGCAAGGCAAGCGCGGAATTGTTGCACTGCAGGCACGAGCACAGGCACAGACAGGGGTGGCACCGGCGACAGACGGGACGAAAGAGCCCAACCTTTCCTCATCGGGCCTCGCAGGCGTCTGCTTCACTGAAAGTCGGTGGAGAACAATATTAAAGTCGCGGGTTCATCGTCCCCTATTTTCCTGGGCCATTGGATCCAGACGTGAGTGGGCGGCCAACAAAGAGATAAAAAGCATACGGAGTTATGAGGACCTTGATGCGCATCCTTCGGAAACAGGGACCAACATCTCGGACAGCCTTATCAGCCTCTCACTAGTTCTCTTGTACCATTTCGGCTCATCTTTGTGCCACAGCGAGCTCGCACACCAAAAATCCGAGGTGAGTCCTTCATGCGCCGAGACCCTGCAGCACCTGTATTTTTTTTGGTCCCTCCCGCGGACGCGGCGGTTACAGGCACCGACGTCTCTTCGTTGGAGGGGCAGGGGCGCGAGGGGCACTCTCCCCCCCCCTTCCGCCAGTGACCACCACCTCATCGACAAGTGCCTTTTTCGCTTCAGTTCATTTTATGCCCCTCCCCCCCCCCCCCTTCTCCGAGGGCGCGCGCGGGGCACCGATCAAAACAGCGGTGAAATCTCCTTCAAAAACCATGCACACTGGCTAACGACCGCCTTTAGACAAACCCCCTTCCCTTCTTGTCAATCCTCATTTCTTCTGCCCTGAAGCCATTCACAACACCTCACATCACGTACAAGATGGCTTCCCGTCCCCAGAACATCGGCATCAAGGCCATTGAGGTCTACTTCCCCAGCCAGGTACGTTTGGGACTTGTCCTGACGAATTGTCGCCATCACCGACATCGCCCCTCCTACCCCTCCACCCCCTCCTCCCTTCGTGCGCCCCCCCCCCTTTTCCAGAAGCACAAATCACGCGCCCAACATAATTCTTGGATCTTACGTCTGGTTGAAAGAAATGCCCGCCTCTGTGCCTACTCGCGTTGACCTTCACTTGCTGATCTTGGATTTTCTCCTTGTGGTTTAGTATGTCGAGCAGTCCGAACTCGAGAAGCATGATGGCGCCAGCACTGGCAAGTACACGATCGGACTCGGCCAGACCAAGATGGCCTTCTGCGACGACCGTGAGGATATCTACTCTTTCGCTCTGACAGTGGTGAGCAACCTGCTCAAGAAGTACGAAATCGACACAAACTCCATCGGCCGCCTGGAGGTCGGCACCGAGACCATCCTCGATAAGTCCAAGTCTGTCAAGACTGTCCTTATGCAGCTCTTCGGCGACAACACCAACATTGAGGGTGTCGATACCCTCAACGCCTGCTATGGCGGCACCAATGCCCTGTTCAACACCCTCAACTGGATCGAGTCCTCCGCCTGGAACGTCGCGACGCCATTGTCGTCGCTGGTGACATTGCTCTCTACGCCAAGGGCAACGCCCGCCCCAACCGGTGGTGCTGGTGCCGTCGCCCTCCTCGTCGGCCCCAACGCTCCCATCGTTGCCGGAGCCTGGCCTTCGCGGCACCTACATGCAGCACGCCTACGACTTCTACAAGCCTGACCTGACAGGCGAGGTACCCCTACGTCGATGGCACTTCTCCACAGGTGCTACACCAAGGCCCTTGACGCCGCCTACGTGACTACAACAGCGCGAGGCCAGGGTTGCTACGCCACTCCAACGGCGATGCCGCAAGCTGTCTGATCGTTCGACTACCTGCCTCCACGTCCCCAACTGCAAGCTCGTCCAGAGTCCTACGCTCGCCTGCTGTACCACGACTACCTCGCCAACGCCGACAACGCCGCATTTGCTGAGGTCGCCCCTGAGCTGCGCGACATGGAGTACGAGACGTCCCTGACTGACAAGGTCGTTGAGAAGACCTTCATGGGCCTCACCAAGAAGAAGTTCCAGGAGCGGGTCAGCCCCGGCATCCAGGTCGCCACCCTCTGCGGCAACATGTACTGTGCCAGCGTCTGGGGCGGTCTCGCCAGCTTGATCAACCACGTCGATGATGCGGCCCTTGTCGGCAAGCGCGTCGGTCTTTTCAGCTACGTTTTCTGGTCTTGCCTCCAGCTTCATGTCCTTCCGCATCGAGAGCAGCGTCGCCCCCATTCAGAAGGTTCTCGATATTCGCTCCCGACTGGAGGCCCGCCGCGTCCTCAGCCCCGTGGACTACGAGGCGGTACGTCCCGTTGCTCTATCCTTCGTGTAAAGACTCCTTTGAAGCTAATATGTTTCCAGATGTGCGACCTTCGTAAGAAGGCTCACCTGCAGAAGGACTTCACCCCTGCAGGTGACGTCTCCACCATCGCCCCTGGCACGTACTACCTCGAGAAGGTTGATGATATGTTCAGGCGCGAGTACTCTGTCAAGGCTTAGATGAGAATGAGAGACGGGGTACGGAGAGGAAAGCGGCGCGCGGACGGTACTGCCGACACGGGGGAAACTACTGGATCTGGCCCCTGGCACTAATAGAGGCTGGTGCAATAATTAGATGGGCTGTCGTTGAAGCAGACAGACATGCATGGGGGTGCTTTGAGGTCTATGATTTCTACATCGGCATATAGATGCACGAATGACTGCGTTAGAGTGGGCGAGAGCATTTCACATGACTCTGCCCAGTGAATGCGGACTTTTTTTTTTCTTTTGGATGATAAACAGTTGTAGATTAAAGTCCTGGCTGAGATGTCTGCATTGTGAGTGTCATGTTTAACGAGGAGCTCTTCTCGGTTGGTTGGGTCTGAGCAATTGTATGTTGTCGAACGACATGTCTAAGTAGAATGGTGGTGGTACAATAGTATAAGGCCGGCATGGTCCAGGTGAAAGGCGAGCTTGCCCAGTCTATCTACCTTAGATCATGACCCTGCCAGCTTTCCCTCCTTACATGTGGGTCTCCTGCCGCCTCCTGCCTGCCTGCCTGGCACGACGAAAAGGCGGCCGGGCTCGATTCAACGATTGACCGAGTTATGCGTCTCTCTCCTTGTTGAACTTCCACTCGGCATTGCGATGCAGCTTGTAGTCCTTGCTCTGGATCGACTTCCAGATGCCCCAGAGGCCGGCAAGCGGCCACGTCGCCTTGAGCCGCTGGCGCCACTGCTTGAGCTCCTCAGCGCGGGCGTTGACGTCGACCTTGACCTTGTCGTACACGGTCGGCAGCGTGTCGGCGCCGTACTTGGCGCGCAGGGCGTCGTACCAGGCGGCGTCGTACGTGCGCCAAAAGTCGTCCCGCGACTGGTAGAGGTGCGCGTAGAGCCACTTCATGCCGCCGAGCGCGTGCAGCTTGTCCTCGAGGGCGCGGTTCTGCGCCACAAAGGCCGCCGGCTCCTTGGCGCCGAAGCCCCAGAGACCAATGTTGAGCATCGGCCTGCCCTTGGGCTGGGGCGACGCTGCCCCCGGGGCGGCCACGGCGGCGGGCGCCGCCGCGGGCGCGGGCCTGTCCGTATGCGGGTGGAAGGTGGGCGCCGGGTTCTGCTGAAGGGGGCACAGCCAGAGGGCCCAGATGCCCGTGTGTTCGGTCGTGTAGTCGATGATTTTTTCGGCGTTCTCGTACGGTAGCGCGAGGTCCTGAACCATGAAGCGGCCGACTCGTCGCTGCCCGTGCGGGGCGCGGTAGAGCATGCGCGTGTGGAGAAAGTCGTCGAGGAACCAGCGGAAGAAGCGGTTGAAGGGCACGGGGCGGAAGTAGTCAAAGGCGGCGGCGCCGACCCAGAAGCCGCCGCGGTCGTAGCGGAAGAGGTACTCGGCCAGAGGGATAAAGTCGACGGCGGGCACCGAGACGTCGGTCGTGCCGGCGGCCTTGGTGCGCTCCTCGACGTGCAGGTAGTACCAGGGGTCCCAGGCGCCGCTGAAGGTCTGGGGCCTGGTCTCGGCCGGCTTGTCGTCGGTCAGGGTGCCTGTGACGACGACGCCGTGGCTCTTGGAGAAGACGATGCCGTCGACGTAGTCGTTCTCCGGGTTCAGAGTCTCGGCTTTGACGAGCTCGACAGCCTCGGCCACGGTGCGCGTGCGGTGGTAGGTCGTCTTGACATACTTTTTCGCTTCGATGAGCTGCAGCTCGATAAGAGTCGTGATGCCAAGGGTGCCGACAGCACCGGCGGCGCCTCGGAAGAGATCTGCACGTTCGGTGGGGCTCGCATTGACGACATCACCGTTGGCCAGGACCATCTCGACCTGGTTGATCGTGTCGTCAAAGAAACCGTGCTTGAAGCTGGAGCTCTCACCCGCCGTGCCTGCGTACCCACCGCCCGCAGTGATGCCGGGGAACTCCATGACGACGGGAGGGATCAGGCCATGTCGGAGGGTTTTCTCGACGAGACGGTCCATGGGAACATTGGGCTCGACGAGAGCGATGCGTCGAGCCTCGTTGACTTCGAGGACATTGTTTAGGGCACTAATGTCCACGAAGCGATCGCGACGGAAGGGACGGGTGCTGTTCGTCGAGCCGTGGAAGATGCGGTAGGGCTCCTTGCGGTCAAAGAAGGCCCGAACCGAGGAGGCTATCCTGGTCACGGCCTGCTTGTGGCGCTCCATCGGTAGGAAGGGGGGTGAGTTGGGTTGGGAGAGTGTATGTGATCAGAGCGAGTATGTGTTAAGGTGCTCCAGCAAGACAGTGAATAATTGTTCGAGAAGCTCCGTGACCCTTGGCCGGGACCCGCATTCGGATCCGAGCTTGTACCTTTTGAGTACAGCCACTGCCAGAGAGTACATGTCCGAGCTTCACCATTGATGAACTGTCAGGGGTGTCTACCTGAGGTATCTTGTTGATACCTGCCCCAACAGCACCTTGAGTGCTTTGCATTCAAATGTGGACAAGGTGTTCAGAATTGAATAGGGGTTGCATCATTCTCCATGCAGATATGTAGTTATGATACTGTCGTCTCTGACCAAACCAAAAAAAAAAAAAGGAAGAAGAAAAAGCTCATCGCTGTTGTCCCCAATTCCCGGCAGATGCCGCCCTACAACTTGGCTGAGGCCTCGAGCGGTGCAGGAACATTATCTGCAATTGACTTCAGTACCCGACTCCTCATCGCCTCCTCTGTCACCTCGCTGAGGCTCTCAAAGCTGAGCTCCGTCTCCTCCAGGGTCTTGGCCTTGACGCTGACAGCCCGCGACTCGATCCCGCCAAATGTGCCAACGACGGCCTTCATGAACCCCGTCCACCCCTCAAAGCAGCGCTGCGCGTTCGGCATGCCGGGCATCAGCAGCACAAAACAATGCGGCATACCCTCGTACTCCTCGAACACGACGGGGACGCCCTGGCTGCGCAGATGCTTCGCGATGTACTTGTCCTCGTCTGCGAGCAGCTCCCAGCCCGTGCACACGTACACCGGTGGCGCCCCGGTCCAGTTGCGCGCCATGAGCAGCGTCGCCAGCGGGTGCGCGAGCAGCGCGTCGTCGGCGTACATGCTCGTGCGTGGCGGGCTCGCCGGCCACGCCTCGCAGGGGGGGATGCTGATGGCGCGGTGCCGCGTCGGCGTCGGCAGGTAGTCAAAGGCGCCGTTGGCCTCCCAGCTGGGCGAGCTCTGCGTGATGTCCATCCACGGCGAGCACGCGGCGACGCCGGCCGGCAGCGGCACCTCGCGCTCCTCGCCGAACCAGGCAATGGTGCGCTTCTGCCGTCGGAGTTCCAGCAGGGTCTGTAGCAGGGCTAGGCTCAGGTTGCCGCCGGCACTGCGCCCACAGCTTGTCAGCACGTTCGGCAGCCCGCCATGGCTCATTGGGAATGGGCCTCTTGACTCACCTGTCACCTGAAAACACAATATTTTGTGCTTCGATCGCCTCGTGGTAAGCGTCTGGTGGGGGGTACAGAAGCGCCAGGTAGGAGGTCAACGCATCCAGCACGGCTGCCGGAAACGGATCTTGGGGCGCTAGACGATACCGGACCGAGTAACATCGACCACCCGTCAGCTTGGCCAGCTTCTTCGTAACGGCCCGGTAGGCACATGGGTCGCCGAGGTAGTAGGCGCCGCCGTGGAAGTAGAGAACGGTGAGAGGAGTCTGGACCTCCTTCTGCATCTCGTCATACCTCTCCCTCTCTGATATGGCTGGCAGCGTCGCATCCTGGGCTGCGGCCGCGCGGTATCCCGTCCACTCGGCCTCGACCGCCACGATCTTGGGCAGTCGAAGGGGCGCCTTGGCGGATAATGCCGTTGAACGGTCTTGCAGCGCCTCGATGGCGGCAGTCAGCGCATCACGGACACCAGTCTCTGGCGGCGCGGGCGCGGCATAGTTGGCCACCCATAGCCTTCCTTTGACGCCAGGATCCCGATTGACAAGACGCTGCGTCGACGAAATGGTACGTGGTTTGTTGGTTTGCAAGAACGAACGAAGAACGGCAACGATCAGTTCGCCGCGGAGGTCAAGATGTTTCGCCGACGCCGACAGGTGTAATATATGGAGCAGAGCCGTCTGGACGATCAATGGGACCTTGGGAAGGATCGCGAGAAGAAGCTTGGCTTGCTGCCTTACTGTCAAGGACGAGCTAGTTTCATCGGATGATTGAGGTGCTGGTGGGGTCGACATGGCGGGCGTTGCGGGTGACGCTTGACGATTCAGCATTCCTTGAGGGATAGGATGGAATGACGAACGGGCGAAAGAAGGAAAGTAATCGAGACGCCTGCTTAACAGGTTGGCAAGGGCAGCAAAACAAGGTGTGGCGAGATTCCTCAGCGGCAGGTGCAGTTCATCCCAGGTCCAACACAAATCGAGGCCATGCTGCTATGGCACCAGGCCCGTCGAACAAACCCAAGGGCATCCATGACGAAGAACGAGCCTCGGGTGCTGGGTTCTGTCTGCGAGTTTGCAAAGGGGCGGCGGCGCGCTAGTGCTGTCGCCCCAGGGCGGAAAGGACATGCGAGAGTTGCCAGAATACAGGTGGACTTGCGAGTTGGTGCCAGTCAACGGACACGCTTGGATGGATTCTTGGCTGGGGCAACCCCAATACGGAAAACCTTGCGGTCAGGAGACCAGCCCATCTGCACCAGGGATGCACCTCTGGGAACATGGCTAGCAGCACACCTGTATGAGACTCGATTCACATGCCGATTCAGGCATGTCAATCGCGGTGGACGCTCCGTGGGCTGCGAACGTTTCACTTTCTGACACGACTCTTCATGGTCATGAAGTAAGATGCTCGCACAGAACAGTTGCTGCCAGGCCCACCAAGTACCTGGGGTTACGGTATGTGACATTGAACTTGCCATGTTTGAGTCTCACCAACTATGTCATTTACAAAGCATCCATGTACTGCCCGGCGCAACTTCCTCGTCGCACACAAGATTCGCACGTCCGTAGATCCAACCGATGCACGCCGTTCGCTACCTGTAACCCTCATCGTACTATACAAACTGCCTCCCTGCCTTGCCCGTGCGGGCCTACTCCTGCTGAGTTCAAGCAGAGCCACCAGCCTGAGCCTGGGAAGCGCCCGCGGCGTCACCGCTGCTGGCAGCTGATGAAGAGTTGGTCGACTTGTTCGCCATGGCCATCTGCCAGGCGGGGATGGAAGCCTTGGCACCCGAACCGCCGAGCGAGAGGCTCTTACCGGCACTGCTGAAGTTGTTGGGCTTGGCCGGCTCAGCGGTCGAGGGCGTCGTCGGCTCGGGCGATGGCTTCTCGTCAGCCACCGACGCCGACTTGTTGCCGCTCGGCGTCGCCGGCGTTCCGCTGGTGCTGTTCGGGCGGAGGTAGCCGTTGACCGGCGTGGGCGATGGCGAGGGAGCGGTCATGCGTTGCGAGATGAGCGTTTTCAGGCTCGTCAGCTCGGCGTTGATCTCGCGCAGCCTCTGATCCGTCAGGTCCTTTTGCGTCTCGAGAGCCTTGGGGATGGCATCCTTGAGGTTGTACACATCATCGCGAATCCGCTGCGCCTCGTCGTCGCGGCGTTTGTTTGCCGACTTGAGCTCGTTGATAACGCCCTCGAAATCCGAAAGGGCCGTGTCCAGCCGCTCAGTTCGCTCCTGTTCCGCCGCCTTGAGCGCTTCCGTGTCCTTTGCCAGCTGCTCCACCAGCGCAAAGGCCCCGTCAAACTGCTCTTCAATCGTCTTCTTGTCCTGTTCTAGGCGTTCGGGGGTTGGTGGTGCGATAAGAGGGTACACATAGCGCTGCGCATGTCAGTCGATGGTCCTCGGCGCCTCTGTGGCTCACGGCCAGCGGTGTATAAGGTCTAGTCATACCTTGGTCAGCTCGTATACTCCGTAGCTGACACCGCCCACGACCGTCGCCATGATGAACCAGTCCCTCCAGTCCCGCTTTGGCGGAGGCGGGGGCGGCTGCCAGGCGGCATGTTGCGGCGCGTATGGTTGGCCGTAGTACTGTTGCGGGCTGTTCTGGTAGGGGCTGCTCATGGCTGGCGGTGGTGCAGTACCGGCTGGTGACTGCACACCCACGCGGGCGAGTGCCGCATCGATTTCCTCTTGTGTAAGGTTCTTGGTTCGGAGGAAGGAGACGCGGTTATCGACCGATGAGTTCGCGACGCTCGGGTCAAGCAGGACTGTGAGTTGGTCAGATTCATCCAAGAAATTACTGTCGGCCACCATGATGGCTGAGACTGACATTGTGCCTGGATGCGTGTTAGCTGCTTCGCTCGTAACACAACAGTTTTTGAGCCTTCTGAGGAAGACGAAGAGAAATGCAGGGACATACCGCCGATGCGACGAGTTCCTCTCGTATCGCCATGCTTAAACAGGCAGCAGGTTCAGCGTCTACCTTGCATGCCCTCTGGCGAGATGGGATGGTGGTGATCAGGAGACAGCTGTAGATGTCTGTCGAAGACGAGGCGGGACAGCATGTGCCCTCGACGGATGGAGAAAGAGGATGCCCGGCGCTGGGCCGAGGCTTCGGTGCACGTACCGTCGGCTGGAGCTGATGCAGCCAGATGCTGGGGGTAGGGACCCGCCCATCGTTGGGATCCTCTGTTTTATGGTCACGTGGCCAGCATGATCTCATGGCCCGAGGCCGGGCTGTTGTCTTTCGTGAATGCGCGCCCAATCAGCACGTTTCGGTGCCTTTGTTTACATTCAGGGTTCCCCCACCCCTGGGCAACACCACACAACCCCCCCCCCCTCCCCCAATCTAAAGCTTTCGGAATAGGTACTTCCACCTGTGGCTACTTAGCCAGCTTATTCTGTCCTGTACGAGACTCTATATACCGGCTTGATCAGGTGTCGACTCGCCGAACAGCCCCGAAATACTCGCCACAAATCACCAAAGAACAATGTCGCAAGACACAGGTCTGTGGAGTGTTCGCAGGCCACGAGAGGTGAGCAAACAGGGTGCGCGCAACGTGATCGACAAGTCTGCTTTGCGACGCAGCGCATGGCCCTTCGCGGGCAAACCTGACTGATGCCTCATGCAGACTCTTGGAAATCTCAACCACAACTCGGCCCTTCCCCAGCCTGCATCCGCCATGAAGCGATCCAACTCGAGCGCCGGCGTGCCCTTCTCCAACAGCCATGTGCGATCCGTGTCGGGATCTAGGCAGTCCCTGGCGCTCTCGCGACCCAGCCAGCCCAAGTTTCAGCGCTCCTCCTCCGGCGCGAACCTCGCCGACCTGGGCTTCTCCTCCGTCAAGCGCTCCTCCTTCCGAGACCCCCAAGCCCTTCGCGCCCAGCGCCCGCCCCGGGTCGCGCCTCGACCGACGCCGACCGAAGGAGCAGCGTCTATCGCTCGCGACCCCTCGACAAACGGGCCCATGAGCCACCAGAGCTTCTTCCAGCAAGCGCCGCAGCCGGCCGGCGTGCCGCGCGACCCTCGTCCTCTCCGCGACAGGTCCTACCAGGCCAAGATAGCGCAGGAACTCCTCGACTACCTCGCGCAGAACAACTTTGAAATGCAGATGAAGCACACCCTTTCGCAGAACATTATCAAGTCACCGACGCAAAAGGACTTCAACTACATGTTTCAGTGGCTCTACCACCGCATCGACCCCAGCTACCGCTTCCAGAAGAACATCGACCAGGAGGTGCCCCCCATCCTCAAGCAGCTGCGGTATCCATACGAGCGGAGCATCACCAAGAGCCAGATTGCCGCTGTCGGCGGTCAGAACTGGAGCACGTTCCTCGGCGTGCTGCACTGGATGATGCAGCTCGCGCAGATGCTGGACGGCTACGCGGCCAATCGCTACGACGACGCGTGCACAGAGAGTGGTATTGACGTCAGCGGCGACCACGTCATCTTCGACTTTCTGAGCAAGGCATACAGGGATTGGCTTTCAATGGACGAGGATGCGGGCGACGATGAGGCTGACAGGGTGCTGGCGCCGCACGTCGAGCTCATGGCCGAGGCGTTTGAACATGCCAACTCCAAATATTCATCAGAGCTCGAGATGCTGGAGGCGGAAAATAGCCGGCTGTTGCGGGAGATTGAAGACCTGGAAAAGTCGACACCAGATCCTGCCTTGCTCGACAACCACTTCAAAATCATGGAGGAGGACAAGGTCAAGTTTGAAGAGTACAATGAACTCGCGATACAAAGAACGGACAAGTATGAGAACCGCGGCCAGGTTTTGCAGGAAGAGCTCGACAAGCTCATGGAGGAGCTCAAAGAGGCCGAGGAAGAGCGCCGCGGGCTGCAAAAGATCGTGGACGATCAGGGCATCAGCATGCAGGATATCGACCGCATGACCTCTGAGCAAGATCGCCTTCAGAAGGGTATCGAGCTGGCAAGCCAGAGGCTGGAGGACGTCAAGAAGAAGCTGGCAGACCGCGAGATGGAGGCGAGCCACAAGCTCGACGACCTGGAGCGTATGGTCGACAATTACAACACGGTTGCCTACCAGATTGGCCTCATTCCAGCCACGGCTGTCAACGCCAAGGGCAGAGACTTTGAGCTTCAAGTGACCGTCAACGACGGGCCCGACTTTGGCTCTTCTCAACTCAAGGGTTCCAGCGGCTCCGGCTCGACGGACAGGCTGCTCGCAGACCCCACGACGGGCTACCAGCCGGCTCACATTCTCAACCTGGACCTGCGCGGTCAGATTAAGAATAGCTTGCTCACCCTGCGGAAAGAAATCTCGGAACGAAGGAGTGTCGCGATGGACTTGATGATGAAGGACCACGATTTGCTGGACGGAATCAAGGAGGCCATCGAGGACAAACGGAATGAGGTGGAGGCCCTAGAGCATCGCGTCCGCGCAGCTGAGGAAGAATACGAAAAGACCAAGGAGGTGAGCGACCGTCTGCAGTAGCGCACCGAACGGGCGACCATGAGGACTAACAGGGAGACCAGGTCACGACGACGCAGAAGATGGCTTCCGATGCCCAGATTGAAAAGATGGAGAAGGAACTCGCCAAGATGCGTGGTTCCTTGTCCGAATCGGTTCAATTAATGGAGCAGCGTGAGATGAACACGAGCATCGAGTGAGTGACGCACGAACGGCGAGAGACGGAATTCTCCTTGCTAACAGCAGTCCAGGTACGAACAGCTCGTGCTGCGAGCAAACGCACTGCGGGAGGAGCTCCACACGGAGATTGACCGCATGCTGAATGACGTGATCAAGTTCAAGATTCACGTGCAGAAGAACCTGGATGACTACGAAGGCTTTGTAGCCGACGAACTGGAAAAGGAGCTGGGGAGCGACGAGCTGAGAGAAGATACCCGTGGACTCGATATGTGATTCGAGCGAGGCGATCACCCCTCGTTGATGATTTTGTATTTCGGGTACTACGGTTTGTTTGGGCATATGACATCCCGAGGGACTTGGTGCGGCAAGGTTTTGGTTTCCTGAGCGTGTGTTTGATGCTGGTCTAAGCTGACCTGTAATGATGAATGAACCTTGAACTTTTTAAGCTCCGTGTTGACCGTGTGACTATGCAGACCTGACCAAATTTGCTTTCTGGGTGATGAAGCTTACGGCGACAAGGCGTGTATCGGAATTGGCTCGCCGTGCATGATATATACACCCTTTGTGGCATCGAGTGTCCCCTCACTCAAGGCTGGTGGATTTAGTATAAGCAGAGATCATCCAAGCTCGAGAGGAGAAAAATAGAGGACCCAGGATGTCTCACAACCAGTACGACGCACCGCGAGAGCACGAGATATTCATCCCGTCCTGGGTTAGACAGCGCAATGAAAGAAGATGGAGGATGATCGACCAGAAGATGCATCGCTTGCGCAACGGCTGTTCCGAGTCGGCATCATGGAAGATCCAGGGTGTCATGGCAGATAAGCGAGCCCCACGCGATGCAATAGATGTCTTACAAACATGCCTCGACCGATGTCACGCCCTTGCCGTAGCGGCACAACAAGGTGATGCTGTCCGGCAGAGTCTGCAGGACAACATCGCAAGGTCCTGCGAGGACGAGCTTGACTGTCTCCGACAGGGACTTACTTTCAGACGGCCGAGATATTGGAGCATTCAGAGTGACGTGAGACGACTGGAGGGTTTAGCGAGGGTACCACATATCTTGCGGCCGCACGTCAAGCACACTTTGGACGGCACAGAGGGAGCTGAGACCGCCTCCATAGAGACGGCTTCGCCTGATCAGGAAGGACCTGACTCCAAGAGTGCGTCCTCTGACGGTACAGATCCGGAACAGACACAGATGGACCAGCGCCTCGAGTTTGCAATGCGTTGCAAAAGGTATCGTCAATCTCGATCAGGCAAAGAGAAGATATCTCAGGGCGATGGAGGAACAGGAGTGGGAGAGAAGCCATCGTTTGCCGCTGTGGAAGCAAGGAGAGCGGTACAAGAGAATAGCTTTCGGCAGGTCTGGGGGACGAGTTCAGGGCTGTCGTGGCATTTCTCTTCTCTTGACGCATGCCGTCAGCTTGCCAGTGGCATTGATATGTCAGCCTGCAGCCGGGGGGGAGGGGAGCATAACGCGGTTTGTTGCTGCCAGAGGGTTAGGGATGCTGAGCAGGTGGGGAGGGCGAAGCCCGTAGACTCCGGGCGCTGGAAATTTTGGTCCTACACCTTACTTAGGTAAGGTACCTAGGTACCTACTACACGTCGTAGGCACACTAAAGGTAAGGCTCTCAGGCTCACGCCCAGGCCTTACATGTACCTCAACAGACAAGCTCCTGAGGCAGGCTGGTGGGTCACTACCTAAGTCCGAGTCCGATTAAGTCCACGGCGGTACGGCGGCTTTCGATCATTCTGCTGCTGCTGGATGCGAGTGCGACTGGCCTTTGAATGTACCTTGGACACAGGCCCATCATGAAGCTACCCCTGTCCACATGGCATGTCAAAGTCTCATGGCAACCATTGATTGCGTAGTGGATTTATCGACCTGCCTGCCTGCCTGCCTTTCTGCCTCTTCATCACGAGAGAAGGTGCATGGCTAACCACTATAACTTCCTCCGTCCCCCTTCGGATCTTGCACAGTCCCATTGCCTCCTTCTCGTTGCATCATGTCAATCGGCAAGCTGCGAAGTCTCTTCCGTTCATTCAAAGCCCAAGCTACTCCATCCACGTCCCACGGTCTGATCCGTTCCTCTGCACCCATGGCTGCCGTCGCTCTGGCCGTGGCCTCCTACACATCCTCCATCACAAAGCTGCCGGAGTCCACCGACACACCCGAAGATGCTCGCGCCAAGCCTCACCATGTCACGAAGAACGGATCCATTGTGCACTTTAAAAACCCCCACCCTTCATATCAAAAGTTGAACCCTGTTAGAGACATCGTCTGGTGAGCATGATTCTACCCACCATTGTCCATCGATAAGCCTGCTCATCCTCCCTCTCCACAGGCCGACACTCAAGGGCGATCTCAAAACCCCGGACACGTCTCCGCCTACTGTGAATGTTGTGCCGCCCAAATTCTTGCCAACACGGCACGCTTCAGACAAGCTGCGCGCGACGTGGCTAGGCCATGCCTGTTACTACGTCGAGTTTCCATCCGGCCTCCGCGTCCTTTTTGATCCCGTTTTTGAGGATCGATGCTCGCCCTTCTCCTTCCTCGGCCCCAAACGCTTTACCCCAAAGCCTTGCGAGCTCAGCGATATCCCCTTCGTCGATGCTGTTGTCATCAGCCACAGCCACTACGACCACCTGTCGCACACGTCGGTTCTTGAGCTGCAGAAGCACAACCCCAAAGCTCACTTCTTTGTCGGCCTCGGCTTGGAGTCCTGGTTCAAGTCAGCTGGCCTCAAGAACGTCACCGAGCTCGACTGGTGGGACAGTGCTGACCTGACCCTGACCCTTGACAAGACCAACGAGAAGACGGACAGCCCCGAGACCATCAGCGCCACCATCTCCTGCCTCCCCTGCCAGCACACCTCGGCTCGCACCCTCTGGGACACGGACACGACTCTCTGGTGCTCTTGGGCCGTCAAGACTGGCGGTCGCTCTGTTTGGTTCGGCGGCGACACGGGCTACCGCATGGTGCCCCGGGACGGCATGGACCTCGACAGCCCTGAGTTCAAGGCTCTGCCCACCTGCCCTCAGTTCAAACAGATCGGTCAGCACCGAGGTCCGTTTGACCTTGGCCTGATTCCCATTGGCGCGTACTACCCGCGCGTCGCCTTCTCGAGCATGCACGCGAATCCCTACGACTCTGTTGAGATCTTCCGCGACACACGTTGCCAGCGCGCCATGGGCATCCACTGGGGCACCTGGGCTCTGACCATGGAGGAAGTCCTCGAACCGCCCAAATTGCTGCAGAAGGCTATGGAGTGGCAGGGTCTTCCCGCCAAGGGTGTGTTCGATGTATGTGATATTGGAGAGAGCCGGGAGTTCTGACCATGTTTGTTCTGGATCGCATTCCTTGAGGCTGCGCGCACTTGCCTGGCGCACCCAAAATATGTGTATTGTGTGTAGGAGGGGCGTTTGTATAAGGATGGGGAACCGCTCCCACAGCTGTACTAATAATTACCCACAGCGAAGTGAACAAGGCTCCAGGAAATATCACCGAGTGTTCACCTCAATGATTGTTTGAATTGGTAGAGTTGTGTTTCGTGCAAAATTCCCTTGATAAATACAAAGGGTGGCATCCGCCCTGATCCAAGGGGGGCCAATTTTCCTTCAGTATCCTGTACGCCGTACTCCAACCCGAGGTGAGGTGGAATCATGACACCTGGTAGCCTCCATTGCGGTACCGACCGCATACCTCCTTACGCCTATAAACGCCAGCCCGCCAACGATCCCGCACACGCGTAGCCATACAGAACTACATGATAACAGTAGTGCCTCCATTTGCCATGCCGTCAAATAACTTCACCAGTCCCATGGCCGCTCCAGCCGCGGCTCCGCCCACGACGACCATCTCGAGACCACCCTTGACGGCCTCCCACACACACCGGCCGCCGTGCCAACCACTGACGGCACACGTCTTGACGTATCCAAAAGCAAACAGCGCAACGACCATGACGGCCACGGAGATCCACAGCGCGAGGTCGACCTGGCCCTCGCCGACGAAGAAGTACGGGAACAGCGGGATGAGGCCGCCAAAGAGGTAGCCGGCGGCAATGGTCAGGGCAGAGATGGCGGCGCGGTTCGAGGCGGGCTCCTGCTCGCAGTGCTGGAACTGCATGAGGAAGTCGACCTGGCGCGGCGAGCGGGCGAGGTGGGCAGAGAGGTCGTCTAGGGTCTGGGCGGGCAGGTCGTAGGGCTCAAAGACTTCGAGCACGGCGGCACGGACGTGGTCGCCGTCTTGCTCGATGCTGCGGACGCACTCGGCCCTGATTTCCCTGTACGAGGCGGCTGTTGGGAATGTGTTAGTTGGAGGCTGTTGTGTTTTGGTGATTGGGGGTAATTGAAAGGAGGGCCAGGGCGATGTATGAGTTGTGGGGGGAGCCAGAGAGGAGCCTTGAGACTTACGCTTCG